CGAGTGTCATGTTTAGGTGTTTCACCACTTTACCATTTTTAAAGGTCGACAAACGTTTCAGAACATTTTTCACTGGGATGAACCAGTGGCGCATACATTCGGTGCATGTAACAATTTTTTGGAATAACACCCTGGCACTGGGACGAACCGTGCACGCATACGTTTGGCGATTGTGATATTTTTTGGAATAACACCCTGTCTTCTTTATCTTTGTAAAACGAGTAAGTAACATTGAAAATGTTCACATCTTTCTCAACCAATCAGATTACGAGATTTTAACAGAAGGTATAATAATTCATTATACACTATTATTGGATTATGTTATCGATTCAGATATACATGTGGTATTCAGCTTCATGTCTATGTGATACTAATAAAAAAAATATAATTCCTGAACATGAATGCGGTGAAGATAAAACATATTGAAACATCCTCGAGGTTTGGGATTTGTCATTCGACAAAATCGCTTCAATCAACCTTACCGGTATTTGTTTGTGGAATCAGCCTTGTTTGTTCTACTGAATAATGCTATTTGTTCATTTACTTTCTACGGTCCAACAAGAATAATGTCATTCGGAACTGAGGGAAACGTGAAATACATTCCAATCAAAGCATAACCGCCCATTTGTTATCATGGTAACAGTTTGCTATAGTATAGTTTAAGGGACTGCCTGACAAAATATTACGGTTATTGTTCTTCAGCTTTGTCTTCCGTTTTTTTATTATTGTAACCAAATAGTTAGACTATGATTTATGTGATTGTTTGACAATATCTATTGTAACAATGGTCGGTCACTTTACGATGCAAACCATGGTAAGTCATGTGTAAGCGTGCATGTGTGTATGAGTGCCGGAGACGGGGTATGTTGGTTTGATTGCCTCTTTGTGATAGCATGGATCGGATGCCGACATTATAGTGCTATCTCACTGAAATACCATGCCGAGGCAACCAGCTCAGCTTATCGCCCGGTAACATTATACTAGCAACGGATGCACCAGTTGTTGCCTTTACCCTTAATGCTGAACGTTAAGCAACTACTACAACTACTATTTTTAAGGGCTTTGGTATGTCCAGTCTGGGGACAGAACCCATTGCCTTTCTGCACAAATGAAAAAACAGAATTTGGATTAAATGAAGCAAGACAATGCTTGAATACTAATACTTAAAACAGATCCACAATTGAATAATTTAAATAAATGATGTGACTATCCATGGTTTACCATACAAATAGGACCGCTATATACTGTTGGACATTTCTATCCTACTTGTACACAACAGATAAAAGCAAAAATCATGAAATCTTGCTGTAAACAAGTATGTAATAGATGTTGCATATAGCAGCATTCATGTACAGAATATGTGTTTTAATTTTACACGATAGGACGTCCTCCTAGTTGTTCTAAATTAGTCACTAGAGATGAATCTTTAGTGTTTATTTATTGATATGTTACACGATTACTCCATGTATGTGTTGCTCTAACAACTCGTGAAACGTACAGAAAAGGACGTCATTAACTGTTATGGGTGTTTCGATATTGTCACGAGTGTTTCGAGTTCTAGGAAAACCATACATAATACTAAATTTTAAAACAATGTTCGAGGCCTAAAATCAATACGTTTTTTACGTCTCTCTCAACAACTGTTAATACGATAATAACATGTACTCCGTTCCGTTCAATGTCATGTTATGAATATCCAGCCAAAGTTATTCAGATGTTTCAGTGACTATATTAATGTTTGATAACATACATGTAACATACCTTTAACAACAGGAATGAAAGCACAGATCGATTCTGTCAGCAATACGTGTCTATATGTGTAGTCTTTCAGGTAACTATAGCACAAATACGAACATCCAGTGAGCTCTCTACAAGCTATTAGCCCTGTAATATTCACCTCTCATTGTTCAACGTTTTTGAAACAATTGACAGACGATGTTTCATTTCTTATCCACCGATAATCAGTAATTACCACTGTATATATCTAGGTAAAGTTATGAAACAAGTTTTCTACAAAATATACTAATCAGTCTTGTTATATCTAGGTATGCTTATGAGTTTAAATGGGGTTTTTTAATATGCACTATGAACATTTTCGAAAATTGTCGATTAGTTTACCATGCTTTAACAACTTGGCCCTGGTATTGGTCATTATATTTACTTTCATTGTATTTATTATCGTCAATTTCATAAAGATGTCAGTCCTTTGCAAGATCAGGCTTCATTGCAACACTCTTGTTCTCTCGTTGCCATAGCAACGTGTTATTCAGTAGCAAACAGATGTAATAAACACCTATTATGTCTTTTCATTCCATAACAATGGTATATATTGTCAGTGTTGTCCTTGACATATAAACCTTTACTGGTCCAAATATCACGGGGCCCTCATTATGATAGTCTGTCTGGCAAATTAAAAATGATAATTAGGTAGGTCACCAAATCATAAACCATAAACCCCAGGCAAAACACGCTTAACTCTCTTCTAAAACAGGGATATCCCACTGCATGTGTATCGTAAAAGGCGACTAACATTGAACCCCTGCAGAATTAGGTTTTTTCTTCTACAAAGGGGACATACATGGAAGAGCCCAAAATTAATCTGCTGTCCCCATTGCAACACTTCAGATATTTCCTGTCTTCTTTCTTTTTTTATCTTCTTTCTGTTTCAGACGTTGTCTCCCTAAGCACCCGTCCTCACATTTGACTCTATTGCAGACTTTTCTGCTAAAGTTAGTTAAGGTCATGCAAGTGTTAGCTCTTATTCTGTTCATCTTGCTCAACTTTCAGCATTTATGGTTGTCGCAATAACTGGTTCACCCGTTGTCAGTATAACGTGTCCGGATGAATGCCTTTAGTATGATATCACATTAAGGTAACACTGAAAAACTAGTTGTTCTTGTACACACACATTCATTATGCACATGGAGACACGTCTTTATAAGACCTCGGCTAAGCAAGCTAAAGTCAAATAAATGGAGAAGGACGAAGCCTTGGTGTGCCAGTCTTTAAATTGCAAAGTTCCTTAAAGCAGAACTTAAACAAAAACTGACAGGCGGTGCTCATAAACCAGTCTATAAACACGTGTGTTTAAAAAAGCTGCATTAAAATCAATTTCAACAGAGATAACAACTGTGATAATTCTAGTCGAGGTTCATAATTGCAAAATCTGTAATCAATAAACAATGTGATTTTGTTTATCACAGCACTATAATAATTAACATACACAGATGACTCAATCGAGTGTGTTCATGTACGTGTATCGGTAGTAGAACTGTTAACCGACATCAGGTGTGTTGACTGAATGCAGGGGGCTGCGGATGTACGATTACAGGGCACTCACACAATGGTCTGTAGTTGTAACTCCTACTGTTTTTACTGTACTTTACTAGTTACGGTTTAGGAAAGCAGCCCGTTACGTTGGCAGTGTCCATACCTCGTATTTGACTAGCTGTAGATTGTCCATTTCGGGAGCATTCACTTATTTATCTGTGTCTCCCTAGGTTTGGAAGCCGGTGATGGTGATCGATATAGATATATAGATCTGTTCAAGTTTTAAGGTATTCAATATATGTTAATGGTGATTATGATACTAATATAAAGTGTTGATGTAGTGTCGAAAATATTAACATGAAATATTAATTCTTCAATTTTAGCAATGAATGTGATACAGAAGATGCGTTGTAACTGTGTTCTCTTCTACAACATGGGACTGTTTCAATGTACATGCATGCAATCATTGTCATAAAGAACTTAAAGTACAGTATAGCTCTCATGCCTAGTGTGATATTTGATGGTATGTTTGAAACATCACTGTGTTTTGATATTTGTGAGTGTCGATTTTGACTATCTTATTTATTACTCAGTGTTAGGAGTGCTTCTTAGTTGTCTTATGAAATAAGTGACAAACAGCGCATTTGCGATTATTGTTTAAATCCTGAGTTATGAATGTATATTCCACCATAATATACAATGTAAATATCTATTCTACCAAGTAAAACGCAATGAAAGTTTTTTTTTGTGTTTAGCTCAGGTCACATACGCCTTTGATAAGCAAGGTGATCCAGATTTAAATGAGGCTGTTCTTTAGCACGCTAGCATTTGTTACATGCTGTTGATATGTCTGCATTTCACAACAAGCTGCGCTTTCAATCATTTCTGACTATATGGGCACATGGGAGGAATTTTGAATTTGTAGTCGCTAATTGGTCGACAAACAATAAACAATAATCCCTGACGTCATGTTATATGTCAGATGTGTATTTCCATCTATCACATCCATCAATATATCGACTCGCCCATCAGCACATGAAATCAGAATTTGACAGATTTAAAAGTGATTGGTACTAAATAATATATATCACAACTGATATAATTGATCGCAGTCCACTACTTTGTGGCCAAAAGCATATTTGTATTATACTACCCAAAGCAGTATAGGCTCTCAGTATTCAATAATGCTAGACTAACTTATGTTATCATCTATTAATCTTAGCCGTTTATAGGACGCTGTACCCAATATACCAAACCAATCATCAACGCATCAGTAAGTATCAAAATTAGCGGTTTTAATGGACTAATCAATACATTTTTTGCACACCTACATTTTCCTGTGGTTTTTTTCTTAATTGTTTGTGATATATATAGTTAATGTAGTTGTCATTTTGTTTTAGAAACGGTTAGGAGGAATGGAAACGGTCGCCTTAGACAGGTGGGCGTTTGAGGAAGTTTGATTATACATGCATATATCCGCACTAATTTAAATGTACTTCATTTTCATTCAGCTGTTTTCAGTCTTTACTATATGTATCGTTTCAATGCTAGTTTACTCATATGTATTTAATATATACACAAATAACAAGAATAAATATCCGTAGTTATTTGAGATACCCGTATTAAAATGCAGGTAAATATATATGGGTAATTGGACGAACACTATCGATTTCCACAGTCTATACAGATATACACTATGAGTTCATGATTCACAATAGGACAATGACAGTATGAGTCAGGTTCACTGATTTCGCAGGGTGCTCGACGTTATTAGCGGTATTGTAAAGCAGTCGGTGTCACGGATAACGTAGGCTATGGCGGAATCCTTCGCTTTATTGTGTCTTTTGATAGTTCCGCACATAGCTGAGGCTGTCTGTGATATCAGGTAAGTCTACACACCATCAAAGCGTGTTACACACACGTGTCTATTGTTGTATATAATCAACACAGACCTACATATACATACCATTGGTATTGGAAGATATGGTCTGTCTTGTTTGTATTTCAACTCCTTACAATTTGTGTAAATATCACAGATCACAGTCTTGTCAGGCTTTAAACCCCTAGATGACTCATAAGAAAACGGGTTGATCAGCCTGCGTTGAACAAACATTGCATCACTATATGCTCGTGTAAAGGACTACGTATTTTTTATATTTATATAGAAATCATTTTGAAAGTTACATCTGATGTATACACTAATGTTGATGCATACTGTGCTTTCTTCAATGTAAGACTTTGGTCCAAACCCTCTACGGTTATTGGTAATATTTTTAAGTAAAATGCATTTCTAGTTGTAATTCAATTTTAGTCAGATTTCCAGTGTTAATAGAGATGTTGACCACTCATGGTCAACCATGTGTTCCCTGTATATCTGACAATCATCTAGAGTTGGGACAGCTTTCCAAACACAGCACTATACATTAACTTAATTGAGTTACATGTCCCACGATGTCTGCATGTGACCGAACCAGCAGCTGTATTTCATTATGAACTCAATGAGACGTGACTAGGAAAACAGTGTGAACTGACTTGATAGAACCATCATGGAGGTGTATGAGAAAGGGTAAAATTTGTGTGCTTTTACAGAGTTTAGCGTCCTATTAGCATCCAAGGTCATTTAAGGACGTGCCTCCATGTTTGCAATATTTCTGTATGTGTGGTGGAAGTGATATGTTGTTGTATTCACCTCCTTACTAGTATTGCTCAATATCCAAAAACGCAATATTCATAAAGACTTATACTTCAGTCTTGTGAAATAGAAAACAAACCAATGGGTTACATTGTTCACAGTTAAGGTAATAGGATTGTGTCGCCATTTCTCAGAAGAATTTCTTCAAATTTTGTAGATATTGCTTTGAAGTAAAGAAAAATTTCTGCCCCCAAAAAAATATAGGTTGTCAGAATTGTAATGATTTTAAATGGAAATCATTGTAAAAAAGGGGTGAATTTTGAAAAAAAATGAAACACGCAATGTTTTGCAAAATAATGTCAATCAAAATGATACTGACATAGATAAGTATTGCATTAATGTATATCAATTTCAAAAATGCTGAAATTGTGTAAAAATAATTATCAAAAAACGATTAAAAATTGACATTTTATAATAAAACCATATACACATAGGAATTACAGGTAAGAGTTATCGTTCTTGAAAAACTTCACAGTAGTGAAGTAGCCGGTTTCCTGAAGTACAGGACAACGGATGCATGTGACTCATTAATTAAAAAGCAACTGAATTAATGCCTGGATTGCTTTGAAATACTTTATTATTGAAAGAACACACTGTTCTGTCAATAATAAACATACAATATTCATCAGTTTATTATTAAACATTAGAATATTCAGATGTTGTAATACTGTCTCCCTACATTGGATTTTCAACTAGGGATGTACTTCCTACTTTCGTTTAGCAATACACTCCTATGACCTTAAGCACTGATTTTGCTAAGGCATCGTACAGATCAATTCTCACAATGTACATTGTAATCAGTCCTTAATTACATTCTGTTCGGCATTAATTAAATTGAGGAAGCACTCTAAAGACGGCATCAGATATGCACTATTGCAAGGGGGCAAATGCATCGACATACCGTCTTAAGCTTACATATACACATGCATGACACATATGGCGGCATGTCTAATACGTCAGTTCAACTGTTGACAGAACGTTAAATAAAATAAAAGGAATAACAAACAAATCACTCTGTTCTCAAACCGGTTACATGTTTTACACTAAGTTGTAAAATAATGTATAATCGGTGAATATTAATTGAACTCTAACTTTATTTTTCTTATAACAATGATGAAATATTTGTATATAAGATGATTCAAATCAACTGAACTGAAGTACAAATTGCTTCTTCATATGTATTTTTCTGGAATACTACAGTTGTGTGATCTCGCAACGCACGAAAATGTCGTGCGCACATCGTGCATACATGGTACACACACCGTCTGCACATCGTCCACAAATTGTGCCCACAACTGTGCGATTTAATAATCGTTCACCCCGTTGTGCGCTTCTCTCCGCATAACTGTGTGATTTGGTACAATTGGTTGATCAATATAACAGTATGAACAAATCCGAAAGGCTCGTATGGAATAAGGAACACATATTAATAAGGATTATGTTCAATTTTACAATGTGTGTTACACAGTATTACAGTGACCGTTAAACTGTCAAGAATGGGTTTTGCCCCTAGGTAACAGAACAGGTAAATAACATTCTGATCATTGACCAGAGTTTTACCTGGCCTGTGCCTGACAAAGAGGGATGAGATGTAATACCGTCTGACCGTCTTTGTTATTTGCATTAGTTTTTGTCTATAGCTCCCATTCACATGGATTTTCACATCTTGACGAGTTACGCAAGAGCCCCAGGAGGGGAAAACTACGTTAAAGGTACGGCTACAAAATGGCTATGTTTACCTATATATGGGACCGTGTTTATAAGTGTTGTTTCACATGTGTCGATTTAGGTCGTTTAAAAAGCACCGAAAGCACGTTTTGTAAATTAAAAAAAATATAGATAGAAAAATCAGCTTTTATTTGTAGCTAGAATATAGAAAATATACAAATCAAGTTGATTTGTTTTAATACGAAACCATGTAATCAACCACTTATGTCATAGCACAAACTGTATAAATTGTAACAGTTTACCAATAGGCACTATGGATTTAGTGATTTGCTATCTGTTTTTCGAAACCTAAAGCCAGTGTATTGTTTTGATTGTTTTACGGCCAATCAACAGAAGTTTACAAGTGAAAACATACATTAACAAAGAGCAATTGGTCGAAAACTATATAATATGTTATTATCAAGATCGATTAAATGTAGATATTCATATATTAATTGTACAGAAATAGATGATACATAGTAGAAGCTGTCACGTGTTTGTTTGAAATCAACGCAATCAATCATAAACCGTTAAATTGTAAAAGGCTGATCACACGCGGATGAGGTTTTTTGTTGAAGTGGCAATACAATGACTTTTGCGCGATTAACATGTCTGTAGCTTATTAATAAAACCGATGCAAACAAAACCGGAAGTGGTTAGTCAACACGTGCAGTTCGCCTTATGAAGAAATAATAATAGTCAAGGGGAACAAAGACCATGCTGAACCCAAAATGAAATACTTAAACTGTTTTATGCTACCAATACGAACCACATAACATATATTCAAAACAAATATTCCGAATCACCAATGCCAAAAACCTATAAATAGCCGAACATGTCCCAAACAACGAGAGGTCAAAGTCGAACCCTATGTCCACCACCTTCTTGGCTCGGTCATTTGGTTGTCATCAGTTTGTATTAGTCAATTGGCATATGATCTTAGCCAATATTATTATTGGTTTTATTTATAAAAGATATATAGTCCTGAAACTATTCCCCTGTAAAATGAGCCCCATTTTGTTGTCATAGCAGTGTTAACAGTAGTAAAACTTCAATAGGAAGGTCCAATTTTGTCTGATAGTCAATATTGTGCAGTACGTAGTCTTTAATATCAACACGTTAAACACCATCCTTTGCATACACTAATATATATATAGTATATATATGTATGCAGTTGAAGTTATCTTTCCCTATATATATAAACTGCTCAGCTTAAGGGAATTTGGTCAACCACTGTAATCACGATTGTTCCAACTGTATCGGGCTTTAAAAGAACACGGAGAAAAATGAATACACTTTATTGTAATTTACTTTCATTTACTGGGTGAAGTAAACTTGCAATTTAACGAAAACACATAGATTGGCGGAGGGACTGCTTAACAGAATTCTGTGATATATTTCGCTTCTTTGAAACCAGATTTCAATATCACACTTTTTCGCCTTTGACAATTCACACACTGACGCCAACCATTTGCTCTTAACAAATATCCAGTAGGATGATGTGAAAATTTCCATGATAATCGATTGTTCAAATATGTGCCTGTGAATGGATAACACGAAAGTGTCAACAGTCGCTGATCATATCACAGCTCACATGATGCCATACACTTACGTTATTAGATATACAATGAATATTAGTATCTATTACGGCTTGCAAACGGGTTGGGGATATCCTTTAATGCCCTGTAGCTTCGAGAACAAATGGTCTGCTGTTATCGTAAGAGGCGGCTAATTCCTATTACCCACCATCCTCCCTACATAATCGTGTATTTTCATCTGCTGAGTGCACATTGAAGAAACAAAATGAACCTACTGTCCCCATTGCTTCACCTGGGATCTATATCTTTTCTTTTCTTACTTCTCTATTCTTACTTTTCCGTGTTGTCTCCTACATGTAAGGCAACGCCATCATATAACATTAGCTGTTGGGAAGACGTTAAATCGCAATCAAACTAATAAGATTAACTAAAGACCTGGTCGGCAATATAAGGTCCAAGATGATTTCCGTTCTACTTCTAGGATACCTGTATTCATATGTGTCTCATACGTATGTTCATATGTACATGTATGTCGAATCAAAATCCTCATTTGTCTTAAAGAGGTCGTTGACGAAAAAGAGAGTGTCACTAAAAATTTGACAATCCGGTTTAAAAGTCTGTTTCAAACTACCAACATGTAATTATAACGGTACTTATAAAAAAAAAATGTAATAAGACCTAGTTTGTCTTGTACCGATTATGACAAATGTTTCTTGTTTTAGACGAGGAAAAGGAAGTCAGACTTATCACGCTGAAATTTTGAGTTATTTGAGACAATTTATGTGCAACACCTGCTTTCATTTAAGCCCTTTACCTAGGCACACAAAACGATAAAGAGAACTCTCAAATGGCAGAGAATACGTACAAAATGTACTAGTAAACTTGGAGCTTTTAATGGGTGGATGTGATGCCTTGTAAGCGCGTTGTCAGAATAGTGTGACTTTGAATTGAGTGTCATTTTTCGATATCTTGTAATGACATTTTAGTCAGATAACACGTTCTAGTATCCCTGGAGTGTACTTTACCTATCATCAGTTGACATCGTTTTTATTGACGTTAGCTGTTCAAGGACGATCCCTGTCTGCCATGTTTATCGAAACGTCCAAGAAATCATAGTTGAAAGCCAAAATATTCAGTTCGGAATTTTGATTTTGAATGAACCAGCCTAGATATCTTAATGAGCATGCCGCGACTTTAAAAAGAAAAACTTGTGAATGTTCTCGCTTGATATAGACGACAGATGATGGTTACACAATACCTAACGACCTATAATGTGGATGACATGCGGGAATTGATAAAGCATTAAGACCGCTAATGATTTTTACCAGTACACATTGTGTTTATGGACGGTAACAGCTCTTTAATATTTGATTAATCTCTGTAACTGGGACTTCAAAGGCTAAAATAGTACATGATCAATTAAATTGTATGATAGTGAGTGAGTTTAACTAGTAAGTCTAATTGTGTTTACGGGGGATAAGTTACGTTTGTCAGGTGTAGTCTAGACTTACAGTGATCTGCACTGAAGTCTTTTATATGATGGCAGAGAAGAATCGTATAGATATAGAAAAGAATAACTTACACTTCTTATTATTCTCCACTTGTTGTCCCTGATGTTTGTTGCCAATTGTCTGTTTGCATGTCCTGGTACAAGCGTCAAGCTTCAATACATTCCCAAACATCATTGTATAGTGAGGGTTGTATTTTTTCTAAATAAAAATATTTGTCCTAGTGGGAATACCTGCGTCAGGTTTAATACGGTAACAAATCAATTATCTCCCCCGACCTACCGTGCTACCTAGTAAATAACTCGAAAATCAATAGCACAAACATTTGCTGTCGAGGAACCATAAAATGTACAGAGTAAAAGGTTGATGATATATGAAAACTGTCCCATGTATGGTCTCGCATAAACACGTTGGGACGCCATGCATGACATATTAATGCACAATCGAATACTCAGGGAATCAAGGAACCATTTTAACATGTTTTATTAAAGTGAAGAGTCCTAGCTCTGTATCATACAGTGTCTCCAACGAAAAAGAGTTTCACATTGTTAGTTGTTTTCCGGCCAGAGCAATAAATAGACGCCTTTGTATGGAGATAGAAGAAAACAATTGTAGGTTGAACGTAATTGAAAGGTATTGCAGACTCAAAACATTACGCAGAGATCACGAGGAAATTTCTTCAAGATATACACTAACGAATGTAGATATGTACAATGTAGCACTGGAAAACCTTATATTTTTGTAAGAGATAATTTACTATCAACATTAATATAGCATCCACTTTATCGCAAATGAAATCTTCTGAGACATGGGTAAACGCGTAGATAAAGTATTTTACAGTGTAGCACATGTACATGTATATACCAGGGGTACCTGTTACATAGAACCTTACATGACCTATTTGGTCTATGTTATGTTGGATGTATTATTCAAAGTTTAAATTGAAATGTGACTTGTTGAAACATACGTTATAACATAGACCTAAATTAACGGGACCTTTACTTTAGGTCTCTGGTTATAACGTGTTGTGCAGCAAGAATGATATTTCAGTAAACATACATGTATCAACGTGATTCATTGTGCAAGCATTATGTATTGAGTGTTTAATATGTACGCGAATTCCACTTAAACACGACCTGTCAGCATGCTATAGAATATGTCAACCACATTGAATTATCTTTATTCTGGTTGTTACCGGCCCGATGATCTAAACTTATCTAACGGCTTTTTTCCTTAATGTATTTTTCAATTAAATATATTGGTTATATTATTATTTTTACAAATGTTAAATGATTTTCTGATCCCTAATAGACGTGTTGTGCAGGTAAATTAAGGAGATATTTTCATTGCGAGCAAGTCGATACAACAACAGTTGTAGAGAGTGTTTGAGGTGCGGAGTTTGCCGTTACATAATCTACGTATATATTGATGATAACCAATTTCCACACAACTGCTTATACCGTCGCAACCACATCGACTTACACATGACCAGAATTGACGTAATAAATACCATATCATATCAGCAGTGTTGACCCAATATGTAGTTTCGTTATATTCGTGCAAGATTTTCTAGGTTTTGATATTGAATAGCCATGTACATGTCTTTATCAAAATGAGCAAGAAAAATAATTTGGACAATAAGTTGAGCTCACGAAACAATGTTACATTCCCCTTGTTGTCATTTTTAGTTCAAAAAGGAAAACACAATTTTGAAAACAAGATTAACCCTTTATATATTAGATAAATGATGACAAATTACACTTATGTTAACACCTCCATCATATCGTTTTCTTTTGTTATTTAAATTGATTTTGTCAGTATGTATCTTTTCTGTTTGACTTTTTAGTTGGGAGACGTTGAACGAGAGGATTTCCCAGGAGACGTATGACTTCTATAACCCACCGTGGACAGTGACTGGTAAGACAGTACATCTTTATGTCATATTAACGCGCATTCACTGGGTGAGCGTCATCTGATGCATTTCAGAAGGCTTTTACGAATTCAACTTGACGGTAATAACTGAAAACAGTGTGTATTTCAGCAAATGACTTCAATTATCTCCTATTCCATTTGACATCGTGAATGATTAATCATCATTTTGTTTTGATAAAATGTCGAATTGCTCTCTTAAGCCACTAAACAATTACGTTCTAATTATTTTTTTTCAACACAAATATTGCCGAAACTGACATGATACTAACTAAATGATAAAGATACAAATTTAGCTCCACGTATCTTTGATGGCGTCCCCATACTCCTTCTGTACTACTGGTACATGTAAGGAAAGTGGTTATCGCAGCACCGTATTACACATTCAATACAAACAGCTTGTGAAGTTGTTCCCGTGTTCATGAACAATCCAAATGTATCAACATATACGGTGATGTATGTTTGATCAGTTGTGTCACCCTGAATATTGATTTCCGTTCCATATCTTTATAAGCCATTGGTGTTGTTGTCAATTGGCATCAGTTTTTTTTTACGATACACGTGCAGTGCAATACACCTGGCTACTGTTCGTTTTTCCAGTGTCCCCTGTCCCCGACCTTACGGGTTGATTGCATTTGATATATGTTATTACTAGTTGAAATGTTTTCCTTGTATGTTGAAACTTTGGCTTATTTTGCTTTCTATTTTACCTTTTAACACACTGCTGAACAGTTCCAGCCCTTTATTCTGATCGATACGATGTGGAATCCAGCTTCAGCACGATCAATTTATGTTATCTGTGCTTCATAAAACAGCGTATCGATCACAGCAAAGATTCATCGTTTTTCAATTAGCCTGTGCAAAAATGTTGCAATTGAAAGAGGCAATTAGTAACTAAAACAAGTTTTGCAATTTCCTCCTATGCAGGTGACAGTATAGAAGTGGGTCTCAAAGTCGGCATTTCTCAACTTAAAAGTGCAGGTGTGTCTGTAAGTAGATTATTTTTCTTATTAACTTTAGTGAATTAACATCAGACTAGGTACATTTGTGTAAGCTCGGTGCAAAGCAGTATCTGAAAGTAATAAGCGACCATATACATTTAATTTTAATTTTGTGTGAGGTCCCTATCACGTAGAAGATCGTGTCTACGTACATGTATATACATGTACACAAATCCAAGAAACGAGTTTTGAAACTAGTGTTATACCATTGCACATGCTTCCATAACATCCAGCTATGTGTCACACTATGTTGTACCTCTGTTAGGTAGTGTTGTTTTGCATGTTGTATTGAGTCTCTGTCTGGTGTTAGTTTCCATACAACATTGTACCTCTGTTAGTGTAACATTGTATTCTCCATTGAATCTCACACTACAATGTTCCCGGGTTAGGAGTAATATTCAACATAACGTTGAATACCTATTGCGTGTTACTTGTTACCTCTGTAACCCACTTTACACACCACACTTTACCTTTGAAAAGTGATTTATAAACAAATTCATAATTGTTTTCGAAACACTATTCCTGATAATACATTTGCTCTCAAATCTCTCGCCTGTGAGTACCGTGAACATTCTATTGATCATTTAAGATGCAAATTTACAGTTTTATAACTATGTTCAATCTATCTCGATTCATATTCCTTACCTAATACTGGATACAAATTCCCATATTGGAAAGGTTTATAACAAAGAACTGGAGCCCCCTCTTAATAATTCCATATAAATCCTATGAAAATGTTAAAGCAGTATTATTTTGAAGGTTTCATACTTGGAGATTTTAGAAACACAAAAATAGTCAAGAATTGATTCCCCGGAAACAAGTGTCGTTTATGGAAGCTACAATCTAATGTAAACAGAAATTTGTTAAAAATATTTTTTATCATGTTCTATACAAACTATTTCGGTTATTTGCAGGATTTATCATTGACCATACATGTACTGCAGACCTGGAACGATCCCCGGGTATGCTTCAATGCATCCTCCCTACCTTCAGGACAGACCACGGCACCTCTGGCCTATCGACACCAGGGATTAGTTTGGAGCCCGGATGTTTATCCAGAGGGTGCTGTGACGTCAACACAGCATGATGTCATTCTCCCTAATGTCTTTTTGAGAATTCAACCAAATGGAACAATTCTCAAAAGCAACAGGTGTGTTTTATTTACTATTTGAAATTGTTTACTGGTATATAAGGCATCATAAAGATGATAAATAAAAAATATCTTTTCATGTGATCCTTCTGCCGGTTTTAACAATATACCTCTATCGGGGTCTGCTTCCTGATATTCCAATCACCTGCTTTTACTATTGATGGTGTAAATTGGGTTTGCTGGCATTATTCCTTAACCTGTTGTGAAGACTTCCTGTATATCGTCAGCATACCGTTTCCGCAGCAAGCCATGCGAAAAATTAAAAACGTTGAAACAGCGGCTAGTCCTGATCCACTTATTCACAATACCGATACTTTACTAGCATATAGCCCGCTGTGGGAGACATAGATCTTCCAGAGATATATCGCATCTATTTTTTCATGAAGTCATGCGAAAACAAATATATATATTTATTCGATGTGTGACTTGAAAGCACATTTTTATCAATTTGGTTTTCGCACGAGACCGTAGAGGTATTGATCACATATCAGTTAAAGACGACAACCGTCGCATTAAATGTATTAATATATTTATAAATCGCTTGTGATGTATGTTCCAGAACTGTTCTCAGCTGAAAGTGTTTAAGATTGTAATAGTCAACACATCATAATGCTAGGTGACATGGTTCTTTAGAAGAAGTCGTTCTAGGTTTCTGGCACCTTTTACATGTGTTACCTTGTAAAGGTTGCAGGACGTACCAAAACGTTCCATGTCAAACATGATGAATCTAGGCATTATGGTGCAAAGGATATCATCTAAAATGTGAAATATTAACGGTGAACAGACGGACGACACCGAACCATCGAACAAGCTCATAATGGCCTTTCGCCAGGTGAGCTAAAAATAACCGAAACGTTTTGCTGTGACGTGAAATGTAAATGTCAGGAGAGCAGCGTTATATCTTACAGTTAGTAATACATATAGCGTAGATAAAAAATGCTAGACTCTGTGTAAAACAAACTGCGTACCAGATACATATCTGAGATTTATATCATAGCCAAAACGATGCCAAGGACAGATTGCCTTATTGCAAAAGGTTATGCTTATTTCATTTATATATTTTTTCCGTTTCAGGCTAACTGTCCAGATCCAATGTCCCACGTCTGACACAAAGTTTCCTAAGGGCAACCAGCGCTGTATCGTCCGCTTCAAGAGCTGTAAGATCTCGTAGTATTGTTAAGAGTCGTAGTGAATTAGCCTTAGTTGTAACAGGCGTGATGCAACACAACCCTTTGCTCACAACTGTAGTCATTAAGAACGAAATACATTAAAAACACAATGGCACTCACAATTTTAGTTACTACGGGCAGAATGTAAGAAATGGCAAGGCTTGCCGACAGTATAGTTAGTATGGGCGGTTGCATTTAAATAGCATAGCTCTCTCAACGTTTACTATTACGGGAAGGATGTAAACAATGGCATGACTTTCGCAACAGTAGTTAGTATGGGCGGTTTCTACGAGCAGGATATACGTTTATAACATATGTACAATGGCCAGGCTCTCGCAACGTTAGATTTGTTCATGCAAAATGATAAGAATATTATTCCTCTTAAAACCTTAGTTCTTTATTGAGGGCGAGATATGTTGAAATATTGTTACTCTCACTGTCCTAGCTATTACAAGCAAGATGAATTTAAAATTAATTGTTTTCACAATTTTAGATACTACACATTAAACGCATTAATATAGCATTGCCCTAACAATCTTAGTTATTAAGGTTGGTATCCATTATGATTATGTGTATATCATCTATACAACAGCGTCACTAATTGGATTTTTCATTACTCACACGAGTTTAAAATAAAAAGTTAAATTTTCCAAGCCAAATTTATCTCGATCTCTACAAACAAATTAAGAGATCCAGAGTTCCGTGTGTATGAAGCAGACAAAAAAAATCAAAAGTTTGAACATTTCCTTGGTGGGCTATTGTATCATTTTGGTATACTATGTTATCTACTGGCCTTGTTGTAGAGAAACAGTGTTCTTTTTATCCTAGAGATTACATGAAATTATGTTTTACGAAGGCAAAGTTCTCGTAAATCATTATTTTACGTGACTTATACACAGTAGCGGGTTGTCACCCACATGATTTACGTTTTACCTCAGGAGACAATAGAATTGCATTTCCCTATCTCACAATGGTACATGTACCCTAGTTAATGGGCGGAATGCTTTATGTATAATGACTTTCAAAACATTAGATGTCCAGGACCGATTTCATGAGAATCGCTGCTATATGTACAAATACCAATGGTGGAGTTTGTCAGCGTTTACGAGCGGCATATTTAGCCTAATGTGTATGATCCAAACTACATAACAGAGGCCAACCTACTATTTCTAAATGGTGGTAACCAATGTTGATGTTGAGTGTGTGATGGGGATGGGTTTAATATGAGTACAAAACAATGAGGTTATGTGAGGGTTGTTGACATGTCACTAATATTTACTGCTCGGTATCCGTTGTTGATGCATCATTTGAGCCAAATGCAGTGCATAGCCAATATCATTTTACGGTCAAATGTCTACCCATAGTTTTCATCAGAAGTTGACAATTAGCTCAGCGAGGATGTTTTTTGTGTTTCTACATATGGACATATTTTGTTATTCTGCAAATTTTATATGAAGAAAAACAGCATAGTTATAACTTGTTTTGGAACATTTCAAATGATGCTGACCTCCATATTCTATAATATAATAAAACAATGTAGATAACAGGTATAGTGACAAGATGAATGTATTTTAAACAGACAATTTTTTTTATAAAATAATATTTTTCTCAATTTCCCAAAAAGTGCTTCATCATGTGATAAAAAGAATATTTAGTTTTCGTTACCATGTCCTTTAAAATTTAAAAACACGTTACAATTTATTTTTTCATGTTAGCTCGCCAGACATTCACTCCACCTAAAAAATCTGAGACTCGTTTCAATCCCATACTAGTATGAAACAGAAACTCATACATAATCATATATAAATAAAACAATGAATTAGCAATATCCGTTATGAGGTCAAATTTTAATCGCTTGAAACACATTAATGCTGTACATTTGTTGTTTCCCCATGCACACAGAAAAAAATGATTCATATCAAAGTACACCTTTAAAATGGCTTACTTTGTTATCCCAGATTCCTTCACGACGGACGAGGTTTGCCTGAGCTGGCTGAAAGAAGGTTTCACGAAACTGGATGATTTCTCTTCAAACGTTGTTGTGGATGAGATTGCGATCGACACATGCAAACACACTCTGTTTTTAGGTACGCTGGTCAAGAACATTTGTTTTAAGAACATGCAACCGGATTACAAAAAAATAAATTGTTTATCAATAGTCTTATATGGTAATGAATGTCTAAATGAATGGCTTTGCGTAAAGGTATTGACTATTGAATCAGTCATTGGTAACGAATATAGGGAGAGTAGGAGGTTAATCAGTAAAAACAAGTGTCGTAATAAGTGAATCTCTAACTAGAGTGGCTGTTCCTTACATTCACTTTCTGTAGATTTTTTGTTACTTTACTTTCACATTTACATCTGTCGACGCTGAAAGTCAAGATTCTTAGAGAAACTGAAAATGTAGCTATTCATGTTTTTGGATTCATAGCGGTCCTCGCCAAGCCTGGGCAAATCAAAACCAAACAAGTGACTTTCTTCTTCCGCGGAAGTTCATTAAATGCCGTCTTGATTATTTCATGGTATCATTAATGCTATAAAATGATGAAATACATATGAAAACGATCAATAAATCAAAGAAAATATGTTAAAATTTTGCGAAAAGGCTAGTTTTTTCAGTGAGCATCATGAACTATATCAATCTCGAATTAATACGCTTTTTTGGACCGAATAATTCTTCACAAAATCAAAAGAAAGCACTTTATCTCCTTCCGCGAAACACCTTTAGATAATGTGTTCAGTATTTCATGAAATGATCAATTCTATAATATGGTTAAATATATCTGTATAAGACAAAAAAATCAAAAAAATATATAAAGATCTTTAACAGTGGGAGTTTTAATCAGTGAAAGTTCCGAACTATGTTTGACTCAAATTACTACTCCTCGTATTCCAATATTATTAAGTGTGTGTGTAAGAATTTTCTCTTCTTGTCCATTATTGCGTAGTTTCATGCTCGCGACTTGTTGAACGACTGTTTGATAACTGTCCTTGATAAAGTAGGCTTCGTGTTTTCTTTGTTTCAATGGAAAGTCTCCAAGTGAAAGAGAATGCTAACGTATACTAAAGTAGCCGTCAGGTAGCAGTGTACAGTAGCGTACGGTGGCCAACGGTGATATTTTTGTACAATGAATAACCCCTGTAATATTACATGTAACATTTTTTTTAATCAGCACTAAAATTGGCATATACATGATGAAGTGGACTATGTGGGCTTCATATTTAAAAATTCGAATTTGGTTTGAGACTACATTTTTGGCCATTTACAAATCTGTGTCTACACAACAAAGGCTAGCTTTTCATGTAGTCTATTTTTGTACTCAGCACATGTGTAAATATTGTGAATATCCAGTTGAACGACCTATGCTAAAACGTGAGTATTTCTGTTAACGAGTATGTGATATTTAATTCAAGGCAGGGTTTAAGAAAAAAAATATTCCTTGCGTGGGTCAAAATTTTGGTTGAAAATCTTTTTTTTTTTTTTTTTTTGGTGTTTTTTGATGTTTTAACCATGATTTTCACAAGTCCCAAATCTGGGGAAAACACTTTTTGAAAAACAAAAATCATTCTTCTAAAAAAAGATTATTCAAAATTTAGTTTATAAATATATATATATGTGTAGGTGTGTTGTGCAGGAGGAATCCACTATCCATGTTTATCTGAGACATGCCCTTTATTTTAAGGATCAGGCCATTTCTACTGTACTCTGCTACCTCAGCTGCTGTTCCTAACGAGTTTATAGATAGCTTCCCAATGCGACAGCATCTGTGTCTAACGAGTTTGTAGATAGTTTCCCGATATACAGTCTCTAGAAAATGGCCCAATTAGTATAATACAAGTAGCATATTGAACATCAAAAATTAAAACCGTATATACATATTATTCACACTAACTAGAAACTGACTAATTACATAGGTCTGTAACCTTCGTTACAATATCGAGAGAAGGAGAGATACACAAGGGACTTGCATGATTACACGCACTGGAAATAATACGATCTTGTTTTCATTTTTTGTATAATTAATCATGATAACAACAAAATGTGTTTATTTAATCGTAAACTTTCCCAGTATCTTACGGGACAATTTCGGTTTGCAGGGTTGTCTGGTCAAGGTCACTGTTACTATTTTTTAAAAGATTAATGCCTGCACTGTAGCAGCTTCATTCCCTGAATGATTTCCATCGATTTGAAAAACTAATTAAGGATTATAATATCAGACAAGTTTCAATTTCAGGGCTTTTGGGTCAAGGTCATTTTTTATACTGCTAATGGTAGCCAGCAAGGGACCTAAATTGTTTTAGCACTACTCTGGTTTTTATATATATTTTTATAGAAAATTCTGATTAAGGGATGGGCTATTATGACCCTTACTCAACAACATGTTCTTTATTATTTACTGCCATTCTGAACTCATATACCAACTCCTTTATTCCATTATTTAAATCCTTCATACACAGCATCCCTGAGTGCTCTCGGCACTTTGATTTATACGTCTTGTTATAAAACTTAAACTCGACAAAAATCTATATTTGCCAAATATTTCTTCATTTTACGGGATATAAAAAGGAAAATATTATTTAAAATTCCTGAAAGCAGAATACGTGTTTTATAATTATAATGAAACCATTTACGAAGAAAATAACTGCAGAAGATCGAGTGAAGGTTTCGCAATGAATCTTGATCCCACTTTTGAAAAAAGCGAGTGTAAGGAAGGATACCTTTGGTTATAGATTGGTAATGGGAATACAAATGAACGTACAGGACTACACAAGCTTCGCTGGAAAGGCCGTATTTGATAAGTAAGATTTAGATACAACTACGTATGTGTTAATCCATTAACCACAAATAACAAATATATAAAAGTGAAATACATTTCAGATGAACAACCTTGCATTGAGCTGAGCTTGTCTCTGGAGAGAAATTTTGATGTGTACCTGACCCGCATTTATCTTCCGAGCGCCATTGTTGTATTTCTGTCCTGGATAAGTTTATGGATAGATGTCCGCCAGGTACCAGCACGTACGGGGCTGAGCGTCGTTTGTGTGCTGTCACTCATGACTCAGACCGTTGGATTGATGGTGGTTTCTGACGATGACGGAAGCATTTTGGCGGTGGACGCGTGGATGATAGTCTGTCTGTTATACACAGTCTGGGCCCTAGTGACGTTCATTACGGCGCATTACCTAGACAGCACCTGTCAAAGACGAGCTCAGAAGACCGCTATAATGAATGTAAGACGTTTTTGTTGATAAGGTTAATGTCATTGGTGTGATGAACGCAATATAGCGTTCAACGAGTGTTTAGTAATTGTTATCGCCTTAACTGACATTGTTAACGTATGTAACATACACCGAAAGCCCAAGTGATAATTTCTATCGAGTAAATATGCGTTTAATTTACAATTCCATTCCAAAACATCTCGTCCCTGCTCTTCGACTCTTCGGCTATAGTTTCTATAGTCTCTCTGGATATCAGTCTTCATTTACCACTTGTACATGGTATTTAACTAACTACGCAACTGAAAGCAATTTTGTAAGGAAACCTAACAATACAATAGAATATAAATATAGAATTGCAATTGGGAGCCTTTTCAAAATAACGCGAAACGTGATGTCTTTAGAGTATGTTTTAATGATGACGCTGATAATCCCGCACTTTTCGATGCAGTAACCTTCTCGGTTGTTTTTTTTTATATATATATATATGTAATAAATAAGAAATTTAATGGCTTCGCTGTTGAATTCTATATAAATTTCACTCCTGTGGCGGAATATATATGGCACCCGTGAAAATTGTTGGTATTCTGTCATACTCGTGAAATATGATATTTAACGGTAAACCATTAAATATCATACATACAATTAACTTAGGTATGTCGACGAAATTAGACGTAACCATAGCTATAAACATGACATTACGACTTATATCGAAGTGCTAAATATATAATGATTTATGTTTTAGGTGGAAGAAGAGATGAACAATTCTAAAGGGAAGTCGTGTACTATTGTAGGTTACAAAAGACTGGAGCGTGTTGTGAAATTCGTATATCCCGTTTCGTTTGTGGTCTTCAATGTGGTATACTGGGCGTATTTCATGTCAGGTTGACACCTTTCAAAGGCAAACTTGGGAATCCCGCAGAACAGTGGGGCTCTTTCACTACAAATCGGGATACGCGAGAACGATCATTGGAGATTTCTATCGTCGTTAACTCCATTCCGTCCGTACGTCTGGCTAGGCATGAGTGATGTAATGTGGACGAGCTTCCAACTAGTATTTCCATATATTTAGATATCTACAACAACCGATGCTATATGCATGATATATGCAATGTGGCAATTCTTAATGCAAAAAAATATATATATACTTACTAAAAATAATAAAGTAACACGAACCTGTTTATGAATATTTGTATACTTGTAATAAAGGGCCTTTTTGAATTCAGAGTTGTCACAATACAATATTGGATAAGGTTGTACAGAATGAAAGCAAACACCAAAAGGGTGGGAGGATGGTTTTATCTGTAAGCTTTTTATAGAATATTTGAAGAACGCAATAAAAAATTGTTAACTACAGCGAGGGCTAACTTCACTTTATTTATAGCTGAAACGTGTGTGGAATAGAAAGCAAGCTTAGAACTTGATAATTTAGACTAAGTTTATCATGTATTCCAAGTCTTTCTAATATCAATATCAAATAATCGTATATGTAAAAACGAATGTAGTGTCCTGGTTCTAAATATCATATAATGAACATGATTTTTGTTTAATCAGTTTGATATTGTTTTATCATTCATCTCATCGGCTTAGCTGTTTTTGGATTGGTTCACATAACCGTTTCTGCAAAAATACAAACTTGGTTTGAGATACGAAACGAACTTTGATTTATCTTGAAATTAGCGACGGGTTTCACGTTTCGTATGGTTACACCACTCGTCATATATAAAAACGTCATATCTTATACATTACGCCTCTTATTAAGATTTTTGTATCGCTGTTATTCTCTGGCAGGATGTACTAATAACGGAATGGAAACACACGAGTTACCTCCCGTTGACAATTTTGGCGACGGAGAATCACAGAAAAAAAAATCATGTTTTATATGTATAATTTTACCATCTTTATATAACACTTACATTATATAATCAAGTATTGTGATACATAACACTAAATATTTTTAGTTCAGATTATTTCCCTAAGCGTAATCTGAATAATACTCTACACCATGCTTTCCAAGCATGTTTTTTTTTCAATATAAAAGTTCGGTTATGGCAATATGTTCAACAAAGTATGTTAGCTCTGAAATGGTTCATCAGTTCCTGATTATACTAACGTCATTCGAGAATGTTTTTAAATACAGTGGAAATGTGGGCGAGTTCCGTTGTTTAGAGATATATTGGAATCTTAAAATGTGGGCGAGTCCCATTGCTAAGAGACGTATTGGGATTCAAAATGAGGGAGAGTCACACATGAAAACACAAGTTCGTGACTCAAATATAGTGGATAAAGAAGTATGAGAAAGGCTGTTCCTGGCTCAAACCTACTGCCATTTCCTTCATTTGTATAATGTGCAGTACAACTTAATGATTTTAGTAGCAACGATGGTCAAGTGTCGGGTTGGAAGTGGGTAAAGGTCCCCACTTCGACCCCTTGAATATATTTTTTGTTGCGCATTTTTATTTCCAAATACTACACAATTTTTGAACGACTGTAATTCTGAAAAATGCATCGAAAGAAGCATCCTACATGTTTATGGATATATTTGTAGCAGGACTTAGTGAAATTATACCTAAGGCAATACCTGTTTACATTGTACGCTGCATCAAAGGGAAATAACTCGAGCAATGTCGGAACAGCTTGCCTCCATGATGGTAAGTTTTATTGTTCAATTATAATTACTATTTTTGAGAGGGGGCGGGGGACTCGAGATGGTATGTTACATTCTAGCTGGGTCAACTGAACTACAATAACCCAGTATACACAGGACGTCTCAATTTCACGGTAAATTCATTAAATTTGGATCTGTTACGTGAAGATATAAGGATGTTTATAAGCTTTTAGATGGAAATAACTACAATTAACATAATCCAAACACCGAAAAGGGATTACATTTATATAGTTCTTATACTTGACTTGTAATTTATATACAATAAAAACAAAACACACAGCAGTTACTCAAATACTTTAAATTGTATTAAAGATTGACTTTGCAAAAATAAGGTTTAAATGCACTATTCAGAAGAAAACCACCTAGCAGTTGTTCAGGTGCAGTATTCTTTTGATGAATTGTAATCATACTACTATGAAGAAAATCTTCTTTCAGATTTTTATTTATTTATTTTTTTTACAAATATATATTAATAAACAATGAAATCAATACCAACATTCACCTCACATAAACGCTTGTCATAAATGCTGTTTTACCTGTAACGGCTTCCATTGAATGCAAACATAATAAAGAAAAAACCATACAGTATGAGAAATGTATACAATAAAAGTTTGTTCTTGATGTTAGGGTGACGGGTTAAAGCAGTTTTTTATAACCGGCACTCGGATACGTTTTGGTCACGTCTTGAAAATCACTCCATCGCCTTGATTTCTGGCACTTTTTTTCGTAATACGTAACAGCTATATGAGTGGAAGGGATGTTCGTATAACCTTATCACTCTATTTCTCCTCAACCTTCTCCTCAACACGTCTGCTCATTAAGTTGTTCCTGTTCCAATAACCTCCATACCATTAGAAGACAAGTTCGATAACCAATGACAGAAGAAATGCTTAGTTGCTCAGCTTCTGGAGTTCAGCAGCCCCCGGGAAGTACCAGTATGTTCCTTTCGAATTCCGTGTTAGCCTCATGATGTCATCACTGTGACCATCACCTCCAGCTCCGACCATACGATCAACCATAAAATTCAAATTGTCTGGGGACGCACAATATCCAATGAAAAAAAGACCAGCCTCGCCCGTTACTGTTCCGAACGGCATTGACTGTCGGACCATCTCGAACTTTTTCTTCTGGTTATATGCGTTTCCTATGGTAGCAACAATATTATTTCTGTGAGATTATCATGTTAATTGACAGTTGCCCAAATTAATAAACATATTTCAAAGCATTAGTTTAGCAAAACATACACAAAATGTCTTTAAATATATGTATCACGAGTTCATAATCTTTATCGGCCGAGGAAAAAGACTTGCACGGTCATCAAAGTTCGGTAGAAAATAAATTCCTTATTGAACCCCTTTTAGCTATATTGAGCAACTAATATCAACCTACCTCCTGTCATTCTGGCCACGTGTGAAGTGATAGACTTCCGGCTGAGCTCCATACTGTCTGCCCTGGTCCTGCCTACCCATGCTTCCGTGGTCTTTTCTGTAAATAGTGGTAGATATTTAAGGTAGATATCTTGTATTCTTATATGAAATGTGAAGTCGCTTTCTCAGGTTCGTATAACCACAAATTCATCTCATCTTACGTCCATAATTGATAATTTGTGTAATGTGAATATCATATATATACTAACCTTGATATCATATACTTATTGAAGGGTAAGTTGGACATCTTACATTTGTAAATTTACCTAAAAGTGTGCTGCTTGTTATACATTTGTAACAACATATTATACGACTGTCTTTGTTTAGTTTAAACATATTTTATTGTGGACACACTTACCTTTCTCTGAGTCAATCACCTTAAAGTCATGGATCCATTTCTGTGTTATCTAAAAAGACAAAGCTTGCGTTTTAAGATAGCTAATGGCGTCTCACATCATTTTATCTGCAATCAGTTTACAAAGGCAACTATATTTGAAATGTATTTCATCTATGATTTATATGTTTGCTAAAACACTGACGAAGAAAACACACTGATGAAGATAAAAATCTAGCTTTCGAAACTTACCTGTCCAGTGAGCAATTTGTTCCATCTCTTTTCAATTTGTATAAGTGCTTATAGTTTACTTGTTTCACTTTAGAGCATAGGTGATACACTGGCATACCCTAAGTTTGTTTTTAACACAAACAATGATTGAAAATTATTTTGCCAGCTTTCGAAAAAGATCTGGTTTGTCAAGCAAACAGTTCAAAATGACCTGTGTCTAGATTCTTTACCGCTGAAAACAAGTTATGAAACTACAATGAACCGAGTTATTAAAGTCAGCTGTCAGAATAATATCAAGACATTTCGTCCAAATTAGCAAATCAACATCTGACCTCTTAGTATATAGGTGAAACTGATTATACCCACAACGCAACTCTAAATGAAACTGATATACCTACCACGAAAATCTAGGTAAAACTGATTATACGTACAACACAACTCTAGATGATGAGACTGGTATACCTACCACATAACTGCCTCCAGTGCTGGGCTCCACTGCCACAGCTTGGCGAGATTCGTCATCAGCCGGGTTCTCTGTTCCTGTATAAGGCAAACAAAAACATGCTTCCTGATAATTGCCGTGTATGGTCACTTTCGTGAAATTATTTACGAATGTTCGACAACTTTACTTAAAATCTGTTGTGTTTTGTAAAGTGTTCTGTTCCCTGTTAGTTTCAACTAATTTGCCCATATAATAATACAATGTTTTTTTCAATGCTTATTTGGAAAAATGACTTCAATGATAATTTTTCTTTCAAAAACATTCCAAAAATATCGTTTTAAGTACAGGCACAAAATAAGTGTTTATTAAAATTAGTATAAGAGGTATGGTAAAGTGGCATTGCCTGTACATTATGCTGATCAACGTTCAAATAATCTCCAGTTTGTTACTTTGTATGGAAAATACCGTAAATAACAGTCTATACTCGAACTAAAATAAAACTATTGTGTTTATATAGGTACATGTACGTGTCTTACCGTCGATGAAACCAGACATGTCACGACCGTTCTTAAAGACAAAGCTGTAGATGTCCTCGGCCTGGTCAACACTTCCGGCGGGCATGTTCTTCATCAGCAATTGGGCTAGCTCGAAAAGTTTGCTCTGAGTGTTACACTTTGCGTGGAAAAACACGTCACCGCCTAAAGGAAAAATGTCAAATGTCACAATCTTAACTGGGCTTAATATCAACTCGAGTCTACGTTTCTACACTCCCACAAAACGATCCCTGGTCATACATGGAAAGTTCCAATACTCCCTGGGAGTGTTCTTCCAACAAGTTCAAACATCGGTATTATTTTTTGTAAACGTTTTCGTTTGGTGGTTCATGGTGTTAGAAATAACAAATATTCCACTTTTCTCATGGAACTTCTTTGTTGCACTACTCCGCGGTCTTTTTATAGATTTTTTTCCAATTTTATCTAATTATAATGGGTTCAACGAGGTGAGAATCTAGAACAAATGCACAGAATAGAGTATCATAACTCGGATATTTGTTCTATCCTTGACTTATGGTCGTCTGTTGCACAACGTTCGAAAAGTTGCACAGCTCTTGTATACAGACGTTACATGTATCTATAGATTGAAGTGAGAATCGGTCCTTATCAAACTATGTTATTTTGTAGAAAGCATCGCAAATTGGCACAGGCAGCATTTTTCGTATATCAAAAATAATTCAAATCCTTGAAAGGCTTTTGTAGCCGAGTAAAACAAATTCTGTTCTACCGTTCTACCGAAGTGCGACTTGGACAACACAATCGAATTGTTAACCTACTTTATCCTAAAGTAACCGTGGCTGACAACGTTGTCAGCATGGTCACCAACATGTCAAGTAATCTCTACGTAGACCAGTTCGAGATTCTAAACTCATATTTGATTACCAGAACAAGGCAATGATTTCCAAGTAGTGTTTAATAATCCTTTCAAAATGTATCCATGAAGTCTACATATATGTTGTTTTACAGGTCAGCAGGTGTTCCAATAAACTCATCAGCACCTGCATGTTACTCAAGACAGCACACAGTACCTACCTAGTAGTTAGATAGATGTCAATCAGTCAAAATAACTTCACTACACTAAGTTTAAACAAGGAACGTCACATACAATGTATTTTAAAAAATAAAGAAATATCAAGGAGATACCACATTGGTCAAATTGGCCGACGATCTTTCAGTAACATTGTATGATTGACATTCTACAATTGTCTTACGACTTTCCCTGGTAATATAGCCGTACCTGAGCTTGGCATATCTCCCAAAGAACCCTTCCTGTGGGCGAATGTATAGTCTTGCTTTACACTTCCTCCAGTCTGAAACAGTCCAACGATATATGCAATACATCACATATACTCTTGGGCAATATTTCTTTATTTGAACAACATATGGTTATATTTGCTTGGATATGAGCTTAGTACCAGCTAGCCCGAGTTTGGTGTCAGAGGAAACTCGGACTAAGTACCAGCATAAGTCATCAGTGCTATAGAAACATCTACAAAACGAAGAGTATTGCGATTCATTCATCACATGTACAATATATATATATTGTATAGTAGTTTGCGCCTGATAGGGCAGCTCCTGCGAATTCCTCTCAATTGTATTGATTAATGTATGTGTTAATTCTATTGATTGTAAATCTTGAATATATCTAAATATATAACATGTATTTTTGATTAAAACAAGAATACCCTGGTAACAGAACAACAATACCACCGTGATCTATCGTGAAGTATCTATTTGCATTGTATTACATTTAAGCTCACTGTATAAAGTGGGACATGACCTTTGTCAACAGCAGAAAGTACAGTACAGCCGTTCTTTACAGATGTAATGGTCGTTTTCCAACAAAAAACTTTGAGATGATGAAAAGTTCATTTAAGTCATCAAAGTAACAGGCATTGGTGTTTCGTAGAAATAATCATTCCATAATATGCTTCATCCAATCAGCGCTACGCTTACAAACCCGTATTGAAGTGGACTTCGGTGGACCAAAGAAAAAACAACATGGATGAATGTGCTGTTATATTTACTTATTTAAATGGGATATTTCTGACCATATTTTCAGATAGTCCAATGAAACTGAGCAGATTGGGGTGATATGTGCTAATGGCATACAGTTCGACCTCCACTAGTTGTTTGCTTGGTCAAGCACAGCCATTGTGATTACCGTATGATGGTTTGCAAACATTCAGTTAGCTTTCGGTTGTTTGGGTGGGGGGGTTTTGTGAGCGTTTTCTCTTCGACGTTTCACGTCATCGACCATTTCAGGTAAAAAAAAAAAGACGGTCTCAAAGTGTTACAATTGGGCAGCATTTTTAATTTGGATTCACAAATGTCTCCTAATTAGAGCCCCTAAAAGTCAATCAAGAGAGGTGATTGTAAATATGTTTGTGAAGTTTCCTGACAACCCGATAAGTAAACTTCTATTTATTTTTACCACATGGACATGCTTGTAAACTTTCATGACAATTGTACAAGAAATGTAGTCCATAAAGTAGTAACACGAAAGCATTCTAATGAATTTGAAGAAGTTACAAATGTATCATGATATTCAAGAAATGATACCTGTAACATTACCTGTTTGTAAAAGTTTGGTCCGAATCCAACACCGGCCAGAACCTCATCATCTTCGTCCTTCATCTTGGGATCAACGACTTGGTCTACAAACTTCTGTAGTTTCGCGGCTACCTTGGCTACCTCCTTGGTGTTGGCGGTGGGTTTTAGGTGGATCCAGAGGTACAGGGCGTTGTTCTTCCCACCTGACCATACCTGTTGCACACAAAACTCAGTTATCTACTGTGCTAGTTTACATATAATTGTTAACTACTCCCTATAAGGCTTAAAGAAATACGGATATGTACATTATGTCACTACTGTATGTAGAAAACGGTTACGTAGAGAAAGTGTTTATGGTTAAACTCTTACTTACAGTCAGTCGTAACAGAAGGAAATGCACTCAATACTAGGGTACATACAGACAATACTACATTTATAACAAGAAACTGTGAATCATTATATTAGTCTGTGTTTAATGATGCAAATACTACAAATAGCTGCCTAATGATAATCATGGATATGGAAAACAATATAAAACTAACGCATTTATCCTTATTTTTTGATTTTTTTAATTAAGTGTTTGTCTTTTCAATAATATTTCGGACATAAAAAGAATTCGATACACTTTGCACTATTCTACACAACAATACAATAAACTATTTTCGAAGTCAGAGATATTGTTTTTAATTGACATTGAAATAGGTCACTGTAACGTATGACGTTTCTTCGAAAATATAAAGGTACAACATAAGCAGTAGCTTTATAAACAATATGATCTCACCGAGGGCTGGGCCTCTGGGGCGTTAGCAGCATGTACTGGCTGAGGCGCTAGGGACTGTAGGTCCTTGATCATGTCTTTCCTGTCATCCCATACGTACTTGTACGCCCCGAAAGCACCTACTCCCGCCGTCATTGCGCCTAGCACCAGGGGGCGCCATGACTTTGCGCCTGCTCCACTTCCGGTACTCGCCAAACGACGTTGACCTGTGAGTGGAGAGAACATGCATATAGATACACTAGAACCTGCAGATCTGAACACCTGACGTACTACCGTATCACTTAAGTGATCACCTGTGATCGACCCGCACAGTATCAAAAATAAATTATACGTCTAAATACTACATTATTTACTACCCGAATAAAGAAATAACAAACAGCACGCGCAAATGTAACGAATTTGTAACAATTTGCAAGTTCTTAATATGCAATACGGACCAATTTCATGCAAAGGGACGATCTACCGACTGGAATCATATTACATTGTTAAATTAATTAATGAACACATACATGTTCAAGTCCATGTACGAGTAGTCTCGCCGTTGTACATTGATGTCTAATTAACCAAGTCTGCCGTACATTCTTCAGATAAAATATACCAGGCACATATATGGTTATAAATTAACAGCCAAGCTATTAAACGTTAAGATATGCAATACAGTTCCGTTGCGGTTCAAACATTCGATTTGTTCTGTGTGAACTGTGCTGCGTGTCATCATAAATGATAGAAGCAAATCAATCCTTTATATCGATGAATCAGTATGATAAATGCAACACTTGTTCCATAAGTGTTGTAACATAGATGTATATTTATATATATATACATATCAAGGTCATTTCATAAAAAGGCATGTTACATATGAGTACATGTATCACCGCTATACATGAACTGGCAAACTTTAGTATCGCCATTATACATGTACATCAATGAACATATATACGTGCAATCTAGTACGCCACTAAACGTCAGTCATGGTAATCTACTAAACCTCAGTCATGGTACTCCACTAAACCTCAGTCATGGTACACCACTAAACCTCAGTCATGGTACTCCACTAAACCTCAGTCATGGTACTCCACTAAACGTCAGTCATGGTACTCCACTAAACGTCAGTCATGGTACGCCACTAAACCGAAGTCATGGTACTCCACTAAACGTCAGTCATGGTACTCCACTAAACCTCAGTCATGGTACTCCACTAAACCTCAGTCATGGTACTCCACTAAACCTCAGTCATGGTACTCCACTAAACCTCAGTCATGGTACTCCACTAAACCTCAGTCATGGTACTCCACTAAACCTCAGTCATGGTACTCCACTAAACCTCAGTCATGGTACTCCACTAAACCTCAGTCATGGTACTCCACTAAACCTCAGTCATGGTACTCCACTAAACCTCAGTCATGGTACTCCACTAAACCTCAGTCATGGTACTCCACTAAACCTCAGTCATGGTACTCCACTAAACCTCAGTCATGGTACTCCACTAAACCTCAGTCATGGTACTCCACTAAACCTCAGTCATGGTACTCCACTAAACCTCAGTCATGGTACTCCACTAAACCTCAGTCATGGTACTCCACTAAACCTCAGTCATGGTACTCCACTAAACCTCAGTCATGGTACTCCACTAAACCTCAGTCATGGTACTCCACTAAACCTCAGTCATGGTACTCCACTAAACCTCAGTCATGGTACTCCACTAAACCTCAGTCATGGTACGCCACTAAACCTCAGTCATGGTACTCCACTAAACCTCAGTCATGGTACTCCACTAAACCTCAGTCATGGTACTCCACTAAACCTCAGTCATGATACTCCACTAAACCTAAGTCATGGTACTCCACTAAACGCAAGTCATGGTACTCCACTAAACCTCAGTCATGGTACTCCACTAAACCTAAGTCATGGTACGCCACTAAACGTCAGTCATGGTACTCCACTAAACGCCAGTCATGGTACTCCACTAAACCTAAGTCATGGTACTCCACTAAACGTCAGTCATGGTACTCCACTAAACCTCAGTCATGGTACTCCACTAAACCTCAGTCATGGTACGCCACTAAACGTCAGTCATGAAAGGTTAACTTATTTTACGTGCTTCGTTTCCTTTTTTTATGCATTTCACCAGTTCAATCAATTAATTATTTAATCAGTACGACATCCGTCTTACGTGTCCTGTGAATATGACGAATTCGACGTCCAGAGATCGTATACGTATGACGTCACAGTTCTAATACAATGCCTTAATCCTTGTTAAAGGTGGGAGAAAGTACTTTTGAGAATTAGTCTGAGTTTTATGTAATTGATATGAAATGGAATTTGACTTAGTCGATCACTGGCACCCAGGTAGCTCAATTGCTTACAGCGTCCGTCTAGAGTTCGTAGGTCCCTCGTTCGAATCCCGGTCTGGCTTTATGATTTTCCTCTCCTGTTACGTGGTGCCAGGAATCAACCCTCATTTCAGGCTATATCAAGTAATACATGTGCGCCTGGCAACGATACACCCAAACGTTGGTGTTGAATAGTGTTGTCTTCGCGGGCAAATACTTACAAAAGGAGGGGTGTTTTAATGGAACCGGAATGGGTCGATTGTCGGCGATCACGATGCTTAATTAATCAGGGCGGACGTCTACGGTCCTAAGGCCCCGATATTTGATTCCAGGCTGACTGTATTTTCTCACTCCTGGGACAGATATAGACAAAAATAACGTCGGTCCTTGAAATGTTCAAAACGACCATCGTACTTTGTATAGTGAATTGACTTTCTTTATGTAGTCTTGTACTATTGTCTCCGTATATTTATTTAGGAAGGTTTTTCAAAACGTTACCTCGTTTTAAGAAGTGGGATCTCGACAAGTCATCATTAACTGACGGACAACAAGACAGACACGTTGTGTCACAAAGCGTCCCCACGGGGACCTGGGAATTTGTACAACTACATGTATGTTTGGACCTAAACTAAGGCGTTCAGAGTAATTTTACATCTTAACCTCTAAAACGTGTTAAACTACTCTGAACATCTTAGTTTAGGTTCAAATATAGCTGTAACAAATTATCAGGTCCCTTGGAGCGTTTAGTCAAGACGGGCATATTGTTTAATGTCACGGTCACTCGAATATACATGACACGCGGTACATTTAAATGTACTATCGGACATCACAAGCATAATTATGTCCACGACTGTGACCAAAGCTTTTATTGGGGGTTGATATATATTGCTGTTTGATGAGGTACCACCGGGAAACGTGTTCGGTTTTCAGATACAAAAGTCAACTCACATATATATATGCACATGTACATAATTTATTATTAAAAAGATACGACGGGTGATTTGAGGAACAGGTGGCAACTAGACGTACCCCAAAAATTTGTTTTGTTCAACATATGATCATAACAGCACTATTGTATAACCCTTTGAATTGTGGATAGGTCGTAAAACAACACAATACAATCATCTGTAACTCCCACCACCTCACATATACCTTCTTATCGAATTCGTTATTACCCCTGTTAGCTCTCCTGTAATCACGTGTAAATGTTTACCTGTCATTTTACATTTTCACCTGTAACCTTTGATAACTGTTATGCATATGCACCTTTCCTAGTATCTCCTGAACTACTGACATCATCATGTCAGTCACATGCAAGTCATATCTGACCTCTGTCACCACATCTGTCCATGTAACACTACTGTACCTCCGCAATCTTAACTTAATCTTTCAAATCGTATTTCCCACTGCCAAGTCACTTGTTACTCTGACACAGAGTGACATCTCAAAAAAATGCATTCCTAATCATCTTACCTGTATCCCTATCATCGCATCTGTATCCCTGTCATCTTACCTGTATCCCTATCATCGCATCTGTATCCCTGTCACCTTACCTGTATCCCCGTCATCTCACCTGTACCTGTCATCTTACCTGTATCCCCGTCATCTCACCTGTATCCCTATCGTCTCACCTGTATCCCTGTCATCTCACCTGTATCCCTTTATTCAAGCATGTATCCCTGTCGTCTCACCTGTATCTCTATCATCTCACCTGTACCCCTGTCGTCTCACCTGTATCTCTATCATCTCAACTGTATCCCTATCATCTCACTTGTATCTATATCATATCACCTGTATTTCTTTCATTTCACCTGTATCGCTATCATCTCACCTGTATCCCTGTCATCTAACATGAATCCCTATGATCTCACATGTATCTCTATAATATAGTATATATCCCTGTCATCTTACCTGTAACCCTATCATCTAGCATGTATCCAGGTCATCTCACCTGTATCCCTTTCATTTCACCTTATCCCTTTAATATCACCTGTATCCATATCATCTCAACTGTATCCCTTTCAATATCTTCGTACCTGTATCCCCATCTTCTCACCTGTATTCCCATCTTATCACCTGTATCCATACATGCTGTAATTTTATCATACATTTACTTTCCTTTTAGATGTAGAGTTCTCTTATTTAGGATAGATTCATGTTTTAAACAACCACTCCTATGTAAACAGTGCTTTACAGACATAGCCTGATATCCCACTGTTTCAATGTCTCTTATCTTGTTAAGACTTGAATAGGGTGTTTTTTTACACGTGTGCAGATCCACATCCGGTATGATTTGGCGTTTACAAGGCAGAGTATGTTTGAATAGAGGTTATAGCCTGTATAACTTGGCCGCATATCACTTAAATTAGGAATGCGAGCCTAACTCGGTCATTTATCTTACTGGTATTCATGGTCGGTAAATACGTTAAAAGCCAGGTGCTGGTCTATCACATGTATAGTGTATGTAATCACGGAATTAGATTACCTTAGCCCGTGATACTATGTACCAGTAATTACAAATGTGTAGGTATACGTTGGCCTACCATATTACATATATTATTTAACGAACAGTAACTATCACATTGATATCATATCATGTATACGGCTTATTATATCAAACAAACATCACTTGAACTAGACATTAGCTGCTCAGAATATAGAGCAGACGAACGTTCCAGGCTTGTTTATCAGTGCTTCTACCCGGGTCAGAGGTCATCCTGGCGTCCCGACCAAGCATGACAGTCACATTATTCTGCTATTCTGGCAAAAGACAGTTAGCTTTACAAGCAACGCACTAAAGCTTGTTATTCATAAACATGTGTCCTAGTTTTAAATACTGCAATATCTATTAAAATAAACAGACTAACACATAAAACCGACAGCCGGTGTCCCATATAATAACACACATGTGTATACAATGGCTGCCGTTATGTGTATCAGCTGTGTATCGGTCGGGGTTGGACAGGAACCGCCTAGCGCTGTCTCCTCCATAGACCTACTTACCTTGTGAAAAGGCTGGGCGAACGGTTCTAAAGAGTCTGGCTGATCCCCTCATGGTTGCCATGTTTCAAAACCTGTCTTATACCTATCTAGACTTTTTAAATTACGTCCGTCTAACCCCAGGCACAGCTGAAAATGACGTAGTGAAGCGTACAACTGTCATGTGATCTTGTTTTGACCTTGACCAGGACGTACAGGGGTATTTATAGCACTGTTATATAAAATATGTTAAATAACACAAATAACTGCGTCATTTATGAGGAAATAATACAAATTAATTATTTAAACATTTGGTTTTCAGAAAATTGATTGAAAATTGTTCCATCAGCAACCTCTAACAAACATTGTCATCATCACCCCCC